GATTCAGCTATAGGGAGAGGAATCAGCTCAGCAGCTCATCACTAAAACCAAATAGCCATATAAAAGCCGCCTAGCCCAGCTGCCTCATAAGGAATATCCCCGACAGCTACAGCTCCTATCCAGCAGGCTAATAAGAATAATTATAGCCAGGGCAGGCATTAATCAGCTTGGCAGATACAGGAATTCTGTTAACAAGACTGAAATAAGTGCCAAGGAATCTCTGAAGACCACAGCACTTCAAAGGCTGTTAAGCCAGAGGGATTCGCGAGTGTTTCTCCTGCAGCTTCCCCCTTATCCAGTGCCCTGTGGAGCAGCAAGCTTCATTTCAGTCCCATTTCTCTGCACAGGCATGAAGACCTGCAAGGGCTGCAGACTGTCACATCTGTGCGGTGCATGCTGACACCACTACTCCCTTCTGGATTGCACCTGGGCCCTGCATGCCCGGGATCCTACTTTTAATTACAGCTCTGTTTTCTAACCATAATCATCTTTTCTTCATCTAAATTAATCTCAAGCAACTTGCAGCATATGGGCATGGTGAACCATGGTCAGCAGATCCTTAGCATAGACAGGATGGAGTCCGGCCATGCTTGAACCTGTCATTTCACTATTCTGGGCACTAGTTCCTCAATAACTGAGCCTTTCCTAACATTTGATGACTGACAGAATGGATCCAAGAGCCTAACTCTAAAGTGATAGTTACTGGTGCTCTGTGCCTTTCAGGTTGCAAAGTTCTCATAGAAGCCACCAGAAAAGAACAAGGCTGTGGGTAAGACGCAGTAGTAGAGTGTACAGACCCTGGTTTCATTCTCTAGTACCACCAAGAAAGGACTTGGTTTATCTTGTATCATGCATCCTTTATAATTGACAAAGACTACTTGGTGCCCCTCCCAATCAAAATCCATCCTTCCATTTTCTACAGTAGCCAGCAGATGGCTGCCAGGGTCCTCTGTGTGTTTCAGCTTCCCTTGCAGCTAGTGTAACATAGAACTAAATTGTCTCCAATAGAATATGCACAGAAATGATGTCACTTCCAAGCTTGGCCAATGAGGTATCCATTATAATATCCCAGCTGCTTCCCTCCTTTGAGGGGCTGGAAAAGTAAGCAGGTGCTAAAGGTCACCAACCTGGGACCAGAAGAGCTTTGGGGAAACAAGCCCACCCAAGCTTTCCCTCAGAAGCACTCCCTGGCCACTGTTACAGAAAAAGAAGAAAAAAAAGTCCTATTGTTTGAACCACCATGCCAGGAATGTGTTAAGGCAGTTTTTTGTTTGTTTGGTTTAATTTGGTTTTGGTTTTTCCAGACAGGGTTTCTCTATGGCTTTGGAGACTGTCCTGGAACTAGCTCTTGTAGACCAGGCTGGTCTGGAATTCACAGACATCAGCCTGCGTCTGCCTCCCCAGTGCTGGGATTAAAGGTGTGCGCCACCTATGCCGGCCTTGTTAAGGCAGTTTAACTTGCTTAATTAGCATATACTCTTCTGCAGCAGTTGAATTTGAAAATATGGATGTGATGCTGTTGTCACTTAAAAGCTATTTCAGTGGATTTTCAATTTTTTTAAGCTGTAGAGAATCTATTAATCACTCTCCACAATCTCTAGGTCTCATGCTGCACACCAGTTAAGAACCTAGCCTCCTCCTGTCTTGTTAATCTCACTCAGCAAAGTTTTCTTGGCTACTTACTTCCCACACAAGAAAAAGGACATACCCATTTATAGGTGTTTATTGGTCAAACACCCCCTATATATTACATGCCCATTATTAAGAGGATAAAAAGAGAGCAAGACCAATGGGGTCCCTGCCCCTGGGGGATAATCAGGTAGGGATGTAAGACCCAGGAACAGATAATGACATCCATTGTCATGAATGTGAGCCATGACATGAAACACAAGCTGCCTGGATATCTACAGGAAGACAACAATTCACAGCCCAGACTGGTCCACATAGCACACAGAGTCTCCAGCACCCCCCCCCCCACCCAATCACCTCATCCTCCTCCCATCTCATTACATGGAACTCTGGTGCCATTTCTGAAGGAGCCACACACTTCACTCACCCACACTTTATGCTTTTCCCCAGAGCCCATGATGCTCTTCTATCCTTTCTTTCAAAATTCTAATTATCCTCAAGGCTCGTCTCAAATGTCACCTCTTCAGCAAAAGCAACCCCATCCCAAGTCAAGATGAATGCCCCTCCTCCCTGTTTCTCCCCAGTGTTGAGCGGGTGTCAGAGGTTGTACTGTTTTTATCAACTGTCTACACAGCCCAGTCAAACACTCAATGAGGTGCAATACCCTGGTCATTTGCTGGGGCCTCCCAGTACTCAAAACTGTCACAGACAGAGCAGGCACGTAAGAAATGGCACGTGGGATAAAGGGATGAGGAACAGACACAGGCAAGGAGGTGAGACTCAGCGGTTCTGGCCTGATCTTCACCAGTGAGCTTAGTGAGAAAGCTTCAGGGGGAAGGAGCTTCAGGGACACAGGGAAGAGGCTAGCAGTAGAAGGCTAGAAGGTTCAAGAGATTCCATGACTGTTAACAAATGGGTGCTTAGGATGAAATAGCTAAAGCAGAAAGAGAGCAAACCCAAGCGGCATCTCCTAGTAGGAAAATCACAAAAGCCCAATGCACACAGGTGGGAACCCCAAAATCATCCATCAGAAAAATGGTGACCTTGGAAGGGAGCTGGAGGGAAAAGTCAACATAAGAGGTCAGAAGTTATCCTGGCAGGGAACCTCCAGGGAGGACCTTGGCTAAGACTGGAAAAAGCATGGAGTGTGGGGGTCCCTCAGAAAGTGGAGGCAGCTTGAGCCTGTGCTTGGGAAAAGCTACAAAACAAAAGGTCAGAGTACAGGTAGAGGTCCCAGAGCAGAGGTCACCACACAAGTAGCAGTGACAGCGTAGTGTCACTGATTCTATCTGGCAGCAAGACCTGAGGAACGACGGAACGACGATCTTTCTTATCAACACACTCCATTTCTGGATTCAGTGTGTCTGTCTGGAGAATGATGGAACACCACGAGGCTGCCTCTGGGGTCAGACTGAAGCTGCACCCAGTGGTGTCAAGGGGCAGAGTTTGCACGCAGCACATAAATGGTTCAGAGAATTGTTGGTGAATCTGCACTGGCCAGTGACTCCCAAAATGACTTATGTCTCATCAAGGTTGGATGCATGAATACACCACCATGATTTCCCTAAGCTGCGCTTTTTTCCCCCTGTGTTGTTGGTTGTGGTTTGTTTTTGTTTGTTTGTTTTTGTTTCAAATGAAGGATGAAATCCAGAGCCTGGCAAAGCTACATATGCATGCTGCACTCTTCCACAGAGCTACAACCCCAACAAACTCAAAGGCATTCTTTCTAAACTTCTACCTCCTGCTACCCTCTTAACTGGTTTATATACAGACTGCAAACTGACCACCCTAGGGAGAGTCATTCACATAAACCACAAAGTGAGTAGCAGATGGGAGTGGTGCCCCGTGTAATCTGTGCAGCCATAGGCCATGGCCCTGCTTGACCCAGACACATAAGCCAATTAAGTGGGATGGACCATCCCCGGCAATGTGTAACAAACACACAACTTACAAGCCCGAGCTATGTGCAACAAATACACAACTTACAAAGGCGGGCACCTGGCAGGGTAAAATTAAATAGCTTAGATCAGAAACCACAGAGGACCACGGGATGCTTTCTGCACATGGGCTGTGGCCAAAGAACTGTGGCTAGATGAATTCTTGGAGGGAATAACTTCCAGAAAACCCCTCAGAGGTAAAGTATCACACTAGTAGCTAAGCTAGAAAGAAAGGCTAGTTTGCAGGCAGTCAGGACTCATGGGGGGCTGGGCCAGTAAAGTCCTAATGCCAGCAGGAAGGGAGTGGTGGAAGGTCTCCACTGGGACCCTCAGGCCACCAGAAGTGCAGTAATTTAGCCTATCTGCAGCTGAGGCCTGGCAGGGATAGTCAACACACAACACGTGCCCTGCAAAAGATTGAGCTCTGTCTTCTGCAGAGGCTTGGAAGGGAACCTAGGGCTGAGTCTGGAATTCCGCTTGTCCTAGATGACACTGACCACAGGGATTCAAGCATATAACCACAGTTGGGGATCTGTATTTCTAAACCATGGCAGGAGCTAAATAAATACATCTCGTGGCTGGTTAAGATCACCCTGTGTGTATCTATGTGAAGATGGTGTCTCTGTAAGGAGTGAATAGAAAATGGAGAGAGGCGGGGAAAGCTCAGGAAAGATTCCTAGGGTGGGGGGAGGACACTGGGCCAAACTACCAAAAAGGCACCAAGGGTTTCCGGGGGATAGAAGAGAAAGGGGCAGTATCGAGGGAAGTAACAGGTAGAAAAGTTGGAGAAGCAGGGCTCCCGGGTCTTTGTGTGTGAATCCTAGCCTAGCCAGTTTCAGGAAAAGCTGGAAGGAAACACTGAGGCAGACCTAGCCACAACTAAAATGACGAGGATGGTACTCGATTGTCACTGTAACGCTCTGGGCCACCCAAGTGACCTTCGTGAAAGGAAGTTGGATTCTCTTGCTCCCCTAGAAAAGCAACTCAGCGTAGGCTAACGAGTGCAGAGCGATCCGGACCGGCCGCGGCTATGGCGGGGCACAGCAAAGGCTCATATTTCCGCCCAGCGGTGCACGCCGGCCGGGGCCGCCCGCACCTTCCGAGGCCGGGAGTTCAAGGTGAGCCCGGTTCCCGGCGGCCAACAGGTAGAGAGCGCTGTCGGGGAACCGGCCAGCGGCCACTCCCCCGGCACACGTGAGGACCCGGCTCCGCCAGGCCGGGAGGCTCCGGGTATCCCGCGCGCGGGCCCAGGAGGATGTGCACCGGGCTCCGGGCGGCCGCACACCGTTCCCCACCCGGCCGGCGGCCCCGTACTCCGGAGCCGGGTCTCCCGGGAGCCGCCCCGGACACCCCGGGTGCCCCAGGCCCCGTGCTGCAGCCGCCGCCCCCCCACCCCAGGACCCCGCGCCCCCGCCGCGCCCCACGCGCACTCACCCAGCGATAGTAGCGCCAGCAGCAGCGGCCTCGGCGCCGGGCGCCCCATGCTCGGCCGGCGGGAGCGACTCTCCGCCTCCTCCTCCTTCCCCGCCGCCGATCCTCCTCCTCCTCCTCCAGCTCCGGCTGCTCCAGAGTCGGCTGCTCCGCCGGGCCGCGCGCCTGCTCCGCTCTCCCTGCCGGCCGAACAAGCCCAGCGCCGGCGCGGACGTGCGCACCTGGCTCGGCGCGGCCCCCCGCCCCCTCCCCTCCCGCCCTCCGCTGTCGCCGGGCCCCGGAGCCGGCCCCGCCGATCCCAGGGCGCAGCCCCGACCGCCTCCCGAAAGCAAAAGGGAAGAGTCGTGGCGTCCGCCCGCCCGCACCTCCCACCCGGCGCTGTGCCAGCAACAAACACAAACTTTCCCAAGCCCCTCCCCGCTCCAGGTAACGGAGGAGGCGCCGGGGCCACCCGCTTAAAGGGGAGGTGACGCCCGAGCCCACCCAGCCTTCCCCTCGGGTCCCCACACCTCGGGAAACTTTCCTCCGACCTTTAAAAGTTGGCCTGGAAGAAGTGTCTGGAAACCTCATCGCTTGGGCCCTATCCCGGTACGTCCGGCATTCCTTCGCTGTGGAATCCCCACGAGTGTCTCGCAGCCAGCAACCCACACGTACACCCTCTAGTCCCTGGGTAAGCATTGCCACCCGCCACCTGCTCAGCCCTTGCTAAAAATAATTACTCAGATAGGATTGAAAGGGCTTCAAAGGCAGTGAATTCTCACCCCCTCATGGTCCAGAGACCTGATGTGCCAGGGAGAGTTGGCGAGGGACTCTTCAGCCAGCATGGGATCTATCAAGGCTCTGGCATGACTGTTCACCACCCTGTAGTTGGGTGGGCCTGCCTTCCTGCTGGCCCACCTCCCTCCTCTCCAGGGTCCCTATGGTACTAATTAGAACAACTTCCAACAAAGGTACCCATAAAAAGAGAAAAGAAAACCCACACCATCCTATTATTAGCTATAGTGCTTCAAATGGTATGTCTGCCACGTGAGACTATATTCATTGCTTTAAGTGGACACGGCTGGGTTTCTATTAAAGACTCTTTCCTCCCACAATAGAGTTTTGTGCTTTGGATTTGAATACAAAAGGCTCCACAGTGCTGGGGGAAAAAAATCAGTGTTCCTTGTTTAAAACTTCACAAGGATGATTCAGACACTGAAAAAGACCCACTGGTATCCAGTGACCCCCTCTCCCCGACCTTTCGTTAATATATGCAAAGCAAATCACAAATGTTCCTGGGACCTGCCCTCTTTGGTGCAGAATGTCGCTCTTGTTCTGATTTCCACAAGTGTTTCTCATTTCTGTTAACTGACATGTGACCATCCAGGTGTGAAGCCTTCCAGAAGAGACTCTTAAAAATGCATTGCCAGCCAGGCAGGGTGGCCTGCCACTGCATTTTGGAGGGAGAGGTAGGATCCGTGCAAGGTCATCCTTAGCTTCAAACAGCAGAGCTCAAGACCAGCATGGGCTACATGAGACCCTATTTGGTCAAAAGACCTAAATAAATTCCTGGTGGTTCAACAATGTGAATTACTGCCACACAATGACAATAGTTAAACAGAGTTAAAAATGGTGACTTTGGTATTAAGTGAATTTTACCCCAATACATTTCTTTCTTTTAATTTCAGTCTGACAACCAAGTCTTTCCCAGGGCTCCCCCACCGGTACCCCTACCCATCTTCCCTTTCCCTCCCCACCCCAACCTTTCCCTAGAATTTCTGAGGGAAGTTTCCTTTTCTTTTGTTTCTCTCCATTTTACCAATCCTGAATAGGAGCCTAATGTTACATTATGAAATCTGCTGGAACTACAGAGAAACGTAAGGCCGGGCTCCTCCAGAAGCTCAGATTTCAGCTCATCAATCTTTCTGCTTCCTTACCACCCAGAATGCTCAAAGTCTGGGCTGCACATTTGGGTACTTGATCACAGTCGGCGCACCACCACACTATGTATACTACTTCCACCTCTGTCTAATAACTCGGGGACCTATGAGGCCGGCACACTGTCACTGTGCATCCCCGCATTGCTGGAGAGGAGTTCTGTGCTCTTTGTTTAAGAAACAAATAAAATCTGGAACTTGGAAAGAGCCCTCCATGTCTCTGAGCTAGACCCAGGAACTGCAGTCATGAGTCAGTTCCGGCCCCTGGGGTGTTTATAGTGGGCCCTAGGACTTAATGAGTGTGACAGCAGGTGCAAAGTCCAGGCATGACACACCCTAGGAGTGGTCAGGGCTGGAGAAAGTTCACAGCTGTCACCGGATGACTGTGAGGGAGTCCTACAGACCGAGAGCTCACTAGGTGCAAGGTAGTGAGGGGCTTAACAATAAGTGTACTCATATGCAATGGGAGGTCCGTCTCCCCGCCCATCCTAGCACACATGTATTGTTAGACTAATGTACATGTTATAACTGTGAACATCTGAACTGGTAGTAATAAATGAGACTGTCCAGGCAAGGCAATTGCAAAGGAGACTAAGTGGATGGCTGTCACCTGACTGACTGATTGGCAGCCAGTCAACTGTGTCATGAGAAGCCACTGATGAGCCATTGATGTAGCAGAAAATAAGCGCAAATTAATAACACCAGACACTTGATCCTATTACCACCCTTTGCGCTGACTACCAACAGATACAAGGTTTCCAACTAAGAAGCTCGGCACCTGCCGCAGAGGTCCACAGCAGCTCCATTCATCTCTGTGGGGTCTGATGATGCTTCCATTATGATTGGCATTTATTTGCCAGAGTGAGTGAGTAACTTCCCACACAGGTAAGCCTGGTGCCCCAGCCAGTGGTTCTGTTCAGTTCATGTACAGGCTTGCCTGAAGCAACAAGACTCATTTCTAGTAATCTTAATTAACCCTCCCCCACCCACAAGGAGGATGAATTTCAGCTTGGGTTTTACTGTGATACAGTGAGCACCAACGGCATCAACCACCCTTTATTAGCTCTTGAAATAAACATCAGCCTGCAGCTGTGGCCCTTGGATGTCCTACAAAAGTCCTCACATTCTCTCCTCTCAAACAGGATTTCCTATCGAAATCCAACACTGTATTGTTCAAATTTCAGACTGAGATATTAAAAGGTTCCAAATAGATGAATTTGCTAATTTTTCTTAAGATTCATCCAGATGTGGTAGGTTTACCCTGTTACTACCCTTAGCCCTTGCATGGTATGTATCCAAACTGACCACCATGGAAAAAGGGTGGGTTCTATTGCAACATTTTATCCCATTAGTCACTTTGATTCAAAACTTCCTTCTGTATCTGAAGGTAACTTACCCCACTGAAATTAAGAGATTACTAATCTAAGAGAAATGGAAGGGTTGGAGACATTACTCAGAGGTAGGAAGGACACTTGCTTCTATGTTCATTCTCCAGCAATGGAAAGATGGGTGTGGGTAGGATGGGTGTAGGTAGAAGGGGGTAGGAAAGGGAGGGAGGCAGGCAGGGAGGGAGGGAGGCAGGCAGGGAGGGAAAACTAATTAGTAGAATTAGAAAACCGAGTTGGAGTTTAAAAGAGAATGATGGAGAAGGGAATCTCACACTTCCTGAGAAGTGAAATTTGGTGATTCTATGAACTCTGGGAAGCTGTGGGTGACCTTCTGACAGACAAGGGAAGCATCTAAGCAGCTGGCTAGAGGCCTGCTCCTGCTCTGTGACTCCTCCTCTCCCAACCCTGCCAATCTTTCTTACCATTTCTGCTGTCCTAAAAGGCCAAGGTGGGAAATGGCAAAAAATTATGTTCTTGGGTGACTTAGAACTGCCTGCAAGTGCACATCCATGGAACCAAAAACTGTCCCACAAACATCGCGGGGGGGGGGCGTGGCCCTGGACCTGGAGGGGCTCCTTACACTCCAATGGGGAAGACAGGGATGGTGGGAGGATGGAAGGGAGGGGAGGAAGGAAGGAGAGAAGGAGAGGAGGGAGGGTAGGAAAGGCAGAAGGAAAGATGGAGGGAGAGAGGAAGGAATAGCTGGTTTGTACCCAAGGCTACCCATTCTGGCTCACCTCTAGCTGAAGTCGGGGAGAGAGCTTGCTCATTTGGCAGAACTCCCTTTACCCTGGTTGTGCACATAAGTGTACTGGGAAGAACAGGCGTGCTCTTCTCTTTCCTTCACTGCTTCCCGCTGACCCTCCTGATCTATATGCAGGGGGTGAGTGGAACCTCAGTCCCAAGTGTAGTCTGCATTTTCTTTGGACCACCAGCTCCCAAATAATGACACGGAGATTTCTTATTAATTATGAAAGCTCGACCTGTAGCTCAGGCTCGTTCCTAACTAGCTCTTATAACTTAAATTAACCCATTTATATTAATCTACGTTCTATATGGCTTTGCCTCTCTTCCGTCTTGTTCCTCCTGTTTCTTCTTGCCTCATAGCGTTTCCTGCACACCTAGATTCCTCCTCCTCCTCCTCCTCCTTTCTCTCCCTGGAAACCCCCATCTGTGCCTCCTGCCTAGTTATTGACCCTTCAGCTTTTATTACACCAATCACAGCATTACACCTTCACACAGTGTACGAAGATCCCACAACATCCAAACAAAGTCTTTATGATGATATTTACAAACTTAACTGTAGAGTCCCTGGAGCTACCCTGTATGGTGGCAGCCCTCCATCTCTAAAACACATCCATCCTAAGTGCCTTCCTGAGAAGAGATCCATTAAGCAGTTTGCTGCATTGGGAGGAGGAGCCACAGGCCAACTAACTTAGATGTCCTTTCCTTAAAATGGGCAGTTCGTTCGAGATCATCTGACTCTAAAAGTTCAGCCTTTGCTCCAATTGTTCATTCTTTTATCTAACAAAAGCAAGGCTTAGACTGCATGCATCCTGCAGCTTTAATTGCAGAGAAGCTCATCTGTGGATACCACTGTTTTACTGGGAAAATGTAGGCTCACTCTTCTTCCCGCCTACCTGCTGTCTACTGATGATAACCCAACAATAGCTGTTGGAAATCCAAGTCACGTTTTCAGTATGCATCTCTGAAAAGAAAAAATGTATCATTTTTATTATGTGTATGGAGTTGGGGGAACAAGAGGTATGCCCATGTGAGTTCAAGTGCCCATAGGAGGTGTCAAATCCCCTTGAGCTGGAGTTACAGGCAGTCGTAAACTGCCTGGTACCAGCTGGTAACCAAGCTCAGAGCCTATGAAAGAGCAGTACTCACTCTTAACCACTGAACCATTTCTCTCTACTTCTCTTTTTTAAGAATATAATGTGTGTGTGTGTGTGTGTGTGTGTGTGTATGTGTGTGTGTATGCACAAG